CTCTCTCTCTCTCTCTCTCTCTCTCTCTCTCTCTCCATATATATATTCCCATCTCCTATGGGTCTTGTTTCTCTGAGAACCTTGACTAAAACATGCAGTGAATGACGTAGACATGCTTTTTGACCCTGGTTGATTTCATTGTCCAGGAGGAGAACAAACATTAAATATTTAATTCCAACTAGATTAGGTACAGGGAAGAACAGATTGTTTTAATGAAAAACTGAATGAAGAACTATCTCTGTCTCCAGGCTCAAGGTAAAGCTTCCCTGAGGATGTTGCCATGCTGCAGATCCTGAAGGTGAAGGACAAATTGGTGCTCCCTACCCCACCCCTCTCCAGAACTTTGAAGAAGGGGCGACAAAATACACAAAGGCTTCAAGGCAGGCAGATACCAAACTTCTGGAAGGCCTCGTAGCCAAAGGAGAGAGGAGCTCTTGGGTTTATGGTACTGCTGAGTGTTTAAACACAGTTATAACCAGGGGTGATGGAGATTTGGGAAGACAACTATCAAAGAATGGTGTTAAATTCATGGAATACCAAATTAGCCACTCTTTCTCCTATAGTTCTTCATCTCCTTTCTTTGCTCACCCTTTGAAGGTTGGTGCTCACTCATAACTCTATCCTTGGTCTTGGCTCTCCTTCATTCATATGTGTATATTTTTCTCTAGATGATTCTCCATGTTCCGCAGACAGGTCTGACATGCTTCCACTCCAGGGCCCTTGCCCTTCTATGTCGCTCTATAGAGACAGAGAAGGGCACCTGGTGCACTTTTCTCTCTCTTTTAGATTTCTACTTAAACGTGAACTTTTCAGAGAGATCTTCTGGCCATTTATTACCCACTGTTCCTTTATTATCTTTTATATTGCTTAAGAGCTCTAATATGACCTGGCATTGCATTACATTTCTTGGTTTATTATATATTCCCCCTATAATGAGAGTTCCATGATGTCAAAACCTTTGTCACTGCTGCACAAATATTCAGCCATTCATATAATGTTACTGGCACAAAGTAGGTCATATTCCCTTATTGGGTAGGTGAATGAATTCTTGAATGAATGAGTGAATGAATGATGAAATGGATTTAGCTCTTGACCACATGTTATGACTTCAAGTCTACACTTTCTGCCTTCTCTCTTCTGAATGCCAGATTCACTTATTCAACTTCTTGTTTGTTGCCTCTGCTGGTGTGGCCTAGGAGCACATAGATTTAACATGCTCCAAATGGAACTCATCAACCCCCTCACAAACACACTTAAACCTGCTGTTTTTCTTGTGTTCTTCTCTTTTTTGAATGACTGCATGATCCATCCAGTTGCCCAAGCCACAAACTTCATGCTTTCCCTTTACCCTCCATATTCCTTTCATTACCAAATGCTGCTGATTCTACCCTTGTGACTCTGCCCCCCTCCTGTGCTTCCCCACAGACTTCATAATACTCATTTGTTTATAATTATTTTCCAAATTATTTCCTCTGACGGTTGCCTTACTATCAATTTTGTCTCCTACCAATTCATGCTCTACCCTGCCACGAAGGAAATCTTTTAATAATACAATTGCAATCACTTTTTATTGCATGAAGCAATGGCTCCTCTTTTCTGTAGGTAATATCTAAGCATCTAGATACAGCACACAGGCTTGGGATGTAGCTCAGTGGTAGAGCACTTGCCTAGCATGCACAAGGCCCTGGGTTTGATCCCAAGCATGGCAAAACAAACAAAACAAAAAAAAAACCCATAAAATTTATTTCTTGTCATTTCTGCTTTGATTTCCATAGTGTTCTGCCACCACCATTCACATTAGCATGGTGATATGCAACAAGTATTTTGAATATATGAATGTATGTTTTTCTTGGTTTTACAGAGTCCTCCTGTTCCTGGGGAGAAGAGAGGGTCCTTAGAGACAGTGTATCTCATGACCTCACTTCAGGATATGACCTTTGTGCAAGTTTGCCTCTTTGAAAGGGTAGAGCTGTGCCATCTGAAGGGTCTTGTACAGATGTATGAATGAAAAACTGATATGTCCATGTTCATCATTTCCAGGGAAGAGGTAAGCTGCAGCATATAGTCAGGCTTTGCTGGCACTGAGAACTTCCCCTTGTCATTGGGTCTGCATCTTCGATGCTGGGGTTATTCCCATAGAGAGATACCATGGCTGTCTTATATGGTTTGAAGAGCTTTCATGTTGAATAGGGAATCCATTTACTCTGTATAAATCTAAGTAGATTTTTTGATAGATTTATAAGCAGAAGCTAAAGTTGTGGCAGTGCTTTCCTTGGGCTGAATAAAAGGGACACATTTCTGGTGACTGAATGGGCTGCCTGCAAAAGTAATGACTCCTCATAATTGAGGGGATTCACACAGATCATAGAGAGACACTCTATGGCTGCATGTTTCCAAGGAATCATATTTCTGACCAGTGTTGAATCAGATCAGAACAGATGTCCCTTCTCTGCTCTGATATTCAATTTGTCTCTGAGTCAAAGGATAATTACACAATCCTCCATTTTGCTTGGTTGTGTAGACCTAGACTTTGGAAAACAGATGGGAAAACAGACTTTGAAACTAAAAGCCCAAGAATTAGTGTGTCTATTTTTATCAGGTGGTTTTGTATAATCCTCAGATTTAAAAAATACCCTGAAGAAAGTTGTTTGTAGATCAAAATTTCCTCATAGTATTGTCACAGTGAGATATTTTAACAACTAATATATTATCAACCTGCAAACGAGAAACCACTAACAGTTTTCAATGCATTAAATAATTTAGATCCCATCTCAAAGTTTATTGCAGCTTGACAAGAACACTTCTCGATCTTACATTCTGTTGGTTCGATTCTATGAAATGAGCAGCTGGTTGTATCCAGACTTTTAAAGCTCCTGGTTTCAAAATAAGATCCTAGAGCTGCTTTAAATTAAAGATTTAAGATTTGAAAAGTTACATATACAGTATTAGTCAGGGTCTATTTAAGAAAAGAGAAACCATTCTAGATATTTTAAGCAGAGAGAATGTAACACAAAGATTGGTTCCATGGGCGTTGGAAAGGCTGGAGGACCAAGACAAAAAAGATTAGTGACAGATTGGTAACTACAAGAAACTGATTCCTCCCTGAACTAGTGTAACCGACTCAGAACCAGGAACAGAAACTCAGGGGCCGGCTCTGCTCACCACACTGCACGCAGTCACCATCCCCACTGCCAGTGCTGTGAACAAGGCTGCCACTACAGCCTCTGTCACACTAAAGCCACTGCCAATACCGTTGCTGTTACTAACAGCCTCCGTCATGCTGCTGCTGCTGCCATTATTACCATGGTCACTATGGATGTGGCTGCTTTCACCCCAAACTGACACCCATAGGCAGGAAGAAAGGGAGGGATGGAGTCACTTCTTGCCTCTTCTTCTTGCTTTAATCCTTTGGGGAACCAAGGAGCAAGGTGACCTGGACAAAGCAGTTTGAGATGTTAAGAGACAAAGCTACAACCAATTTGTAGATTTAATTGGTGGCTTTTATTAGCAACTCATAAATTGGGAAGCTGCCTCTGTTATATAAATAGAATGAAAGTTCCCACGGGACACTTGTGGAACAGTTGGTTTTATAAGCTGGGAACAAAGAAACAGAACAACATGGGGAAAACCCCAATATGTTAACACCAAGTTACTTTTTGGTAAGGGTTGAAGCCGAGGGGACTTTCTAATTATGCTGACACAGATAGGCTGGAATCTCTTGTTTCCAAGAAAAACTGCTCTGTTTGGGGATCTGTTTCTTTAAAATTTCATTTTAATTATGTGGTGTTTATCTCGAGTGACTCCATTTTGGTTTGGTTGGGGCCGCGTACAGGAGTTTAGTTGAAAACAAGGGCCTCCCGTCATTTTTGTTTAATGGTACGATCCCAACCCTTTGCAAGAGAGCAGAGCACATAAGAGGAGAAACTAAGAACATATAAACAAATGGCCTAAATGATAGAGATTGGTAAAATTGTTCCAAGTTTTGAAGGTGATTTTTATAAAAAACAAACCAATTAGATTTACACCAAGATTCTAGAATGGTGGCTAAGTGATCAATTACGAGCATTTACACAGGGAGAAGATAGCCATGAGAAGCTTGCTGGAGGTTATTAACCTACTCTGTTCAATACCTCTGAAACCAGATCATCACAAGGGCCACACCTTAGCGACTCAAAAAATAACAATGGTGGGATATCTTGAGTTATGTATGTTTGAGAAACTTGCCCCAAATCAGAGAGAGAAGGTAATATTTTAGGTCACCTATTCTTTCAACATCCATGCATTTGCTACACCTCATGGGTGGAGAAGATTGTAGTTTAGGAAGTGTTAGGTGCAGGGCAGGCTGAACTAACGTTGTCTGCAGGGTGGTCTGAACACTTGACTCTCACCCTCACCCGTCTGGTTCCTTATCGCTTGTTTGCCTCAAGTCTGAACACTTAACCCCTCTCAAGGCTGAACACTTGACCCCACTCAAGGCTGAACCTGTATGGTGAAACAGAAACTCATATCTGACCCCCGCCCCGTCTTCCTGAAGGCAGAAGATGACCCTCTTAGCAACTACTTTATGATCCAATCACTGTACGCCAACAAGGCAGCTTGCAGGCCCAGACAGCCCATTAGATTTTGGTTATAAAAACTCTCTCCTGCCAGGCCCCCCTCTCTTGCTCTCTCTCTCTCTCTTCTCCCCCCCCCCTTTTCTCTTCCTTCCCTGTTTTTTTTTTTAATTTTTTATTGTGGGTTGTTCAAAACATTACAAATTTCTTGACATATCATATTCCACACTTTGATTCAAGTGGGTTATGAACTCCCACCTTCACCCCATACACAGATTGCAGAATCACATCAGTTACACATCCATTGATTTACATATTGCCATACTAGTGTCTGTTGTGCTCCGCTGCCTTTCCCATCCTCCACCTTCCCCCCTCCCCACCTCTCCCCTCCCCTCCCCTCCTCTCTCTCTACCCCCTCCACTGTATAACCCTGAGGGTCTCCTTCCATTACCATGCAATTTCCCTTCTCTCTCCCTTTCCCTCCCACCTCTCATCCCTGCTAAATGTTAATCTTCTTCTCCTGCTCTTCGTCCCTACTCTGATCTTAGGTACTCTCCTTATATCAAAGAAGACATTTGGCATTTGTTTTTTAGGGATTGGCTAGCTTCACTTAGCATAATCTGCTCTAATGCCATCCATTTCCCTGTAAATTCTATGATTTTGTCATTTTTTAATGCAGAGTAATACTCCATTGTGTATAAATGCCACATTTTTTTTATCCATTCGTCTATTGAAGGGCATCTAGGTTGGTTCCACAGTCTTGCTATTGTGAACTGTGCTGCTATGAACATCGATGTAGCAGTGTCCCTGTAGCATGCTCTTTTTAGGTCTTTAGGGAATAGACCAAGAAGGGGAATAGCTGGGTCAAATGGTGGCTCCATTCCCAGCTTTC